ACCCAGAACAGGCTTTGGGAGTGATTAAATCTACAGTGGCAGTGGCTGCTTCTGGAGCTCTCAGCCCATAGACAGTAATGTTGGTCAGAAGGAGATTAGAGGTATCTTTTTGCTAGCACTGAGGTAGGACTCTGTTGCTTTGCCCATATTCAGATCTGGGTCACAGTTCTGGTTGGCAGTCCCTGGGTTAGGAGGAGCACTAGCACAGTGGAGCTTGTGGCCTCAGTGGAGCTGGGGGCCCTCCTCACAGTTCCAGGGCAGAAAAAAGTGCTGGTGGTTGCTCATAGACCAGGGCATACACTAGGATAGTAGTAAATACCTCTTCTTAGATCATACCACGTTGGAAGAACTGAAATTTTACAGATCCCTAGAAGTATCTTTGAAAACAACTACACAAAACTCCTGAAACTTGACCATTCCCTAGTTGATAAATTATCAAGATCTATGGTAAGTTTTTAGATGAAGTAATCAAAGCTATCTGTAGCCATATGAAAAATGCTCTCATTATTGATTGGAGAAATGCAAATTAAAATAATTTTGAGGTACTACCTCATACCTGTTAAATTGGCTAATAGGACAGAAAAGGTAAATGTTGGAGGGGATGTGGGAAAAATGAGACATTAATGCACTGTTGGTAGAGTTGTGAACTGATTGTGTAGAGCAATTAGGAACTATACCCAAAGGGCTATGAAAACATGCATACCTTTTGACTTAGCAATACCATTACTAGGTCTGTATAGCAAAAGAGATAATAAAACCAAAAAGGAAAAGGACTTATATGTACAGAAATATTTATAGCAGCTTTGTCTGGGGGCAAAGCATTAGAAATTGAGGGGATGCCCATCAATTGGGAAATGACTGAGCAAGTTGTGGTATGTGATTATGACAGAATACTATTGTACTATAATAAATAATGTTTGGGATGCTCTCAGCAAAACCTGGAAAGGCTTACATGAACTGCTGCAAAGTGAAAGGTGCTATTTACAAAGTAACAGAAATATTGTAAGATGATCAGCTGTAAATGACTTAGCTATTCTTTTTTTTATTATTGAAGGGGCCTATTCATAGAATGGGTGTTGCCTCACTCAAAGTGAGAACTTGAAAAGACTTTAGCTTAAGGTCTCCACTGTGTCCTGGGCCATCTCTAGTTGTCCTGATGAATATTTGTCCATTGGACCCAGATCGCTCTGAAGGATAAAGTGAGGCTGGTGACTTTGCAAAGCCCTCCCTCACTCAAGTCAAAGTCAAATGCAAGTCATATCATCATCTCCCTGACATCGTGGTCCTATTTGAGAACAAAGGACAAACCACACACAAAAATTCTGATACATGTTGTATGTATTTACTGCTTCTGTTGTTAAGAAAAATCAATATGCCAAGAGTTCCCAACAGGAAATTTAAGTAAGGGGCAGTTAGGTGATACAGTGGATAGAGCACTGGCCCTGAAGTCAGGAGGACCTGAGTTCAAATCTGTCTTCAGACCAAACACTTGACACTTACTAGCTGTGTAACCCTGGGTAAGTCACTTAACCCCAATTGCCTAAAAATAATAAAAAAAAAGTTAAAAAAAAAGGAAATTTAAGTAAAAAGAGCATCCTCCCATATGCCTGTGATACATAAACTTTCCCACCAGTACATATAGAATCTAGGGGAAAATGGCTCCAAGATTATAACAAATGTATCAGGAGAGTAACCTAACTTCTGAATGTCCTTTTTTTCCAGTGTCCTTTCCCTTTAGATGTGGTGCAGCTTTTCTGTAGGGTTCTTTGTAGAACCTTAAATGCTCATCTAGTCTGTCTGTGGCTCCCAATACTGAACTTGGATTGTGGAGAACCTGCTAGGATGCTGATGGGAAAATGGGAAGTACAAAATTCTGCTGAACCTTTGAAATTCTCTAGGTTTTCTTTTGGCCAGGGTTAGGGAGAAGACTTGGGTCAGGACTGAAGTGCTCTCCTCTCTCCTGACGTGATTTTATTCAGGAATAGCTCTTTCTCCTGCCAAACCCTCAAATCTCTAATTCCAACTAGCTTCTTGGTTTTACATAGACCTCAGGTGGTATGACTGTAACGCTTTATTCACACTTAGTAAAATAGAGATATGCCCTTACCTGAAACAGATCATTTACTTTAGGTGGGATGGGTTGGTTTAATTGATTTACTCAATTGACACCCCTATACCCTTAAATATTTATGTTTAAAACAGTTATTCGACCAGCACTGTATCCACCTCACTGTATTTTTATCTAGTAGGCATTTCTCTATCTTGTCCACAAGAATCTCATAAGAAACTTTATCACATTTCCCTGACCTACTCATATAAAAAATGCTATTAGTTCAATTCAATTCAATTCAATAAACACTTGGCAGTCTACTACGTGCTACACATTATGTTAAGTTCAAAATCACAAATGAAGAGGAAGTTATTCTATAATGACATTCTAAATAATTCTAAACTGGTTATCAGTGATCACCACTATACTTTTTCAGGTGTTCACAAACCATTGCTTTAATATATTCAAGAAGTATGCCCAGATCATTTCTCAAATATGTAGAGAACTGAGCCAAATTTATAAAAAAGAGCCATTTTCCAATTGATAAATGGATATAACAACAGTTTTTAGAAGAAGCCATCAAAGGTATCAATAGTCATATAAAAAAATGCCCTAAATGACTAATAATGAGAGAAATGCAAATGAAAACCACTCTGAAGTACTACTTCATGCCCATCAGATTGGCTAACATGACAGAAAAGGAAAATGATAAATGCTAGAGGAGATATGGAAAAATTAGGACACTAATGCATTGTTGATAGAATTGTCAGCTGGTCTGACCATTCTGGAAAACATTTTGAATTAGTCCCAAAAGGCTCTAAAACTATACATACCCTTTGACCCAGCAATGCTATTACTCACTCTGTATACCAAAGAGATCAAATAAAAAAAAACCTGTATGTACAAAAATATTTATAGCGATTCTTTTAGTAGTGGCAAAGAATTGGAAATTGAAGCAATGCCCATCAATTGGAGAATGGTTGAACAAGCTATTGTATGTGATTGTGATGGAATACTATAAAAAATGATCATAAATACTATAAGAAATGACAAGCAGAATGGTTTCAAAAAGCAAAACAAAATAAAACAAAACCCTGGGAAGACTTATATGAACTGATACACAATGAAGTGAACAGAATAAGGAGAACAAAGATACTCGGAGTAGTGTGCCATTCCTTTCTCCAACTCATTTTACAGATGAAAAACTGAGATAAAAAGGGTTAAGTGACTTACCTAGGGTCACACAGCTAGTAACTGTCTGAGGCCGTATCTGAATTCAGGAAGATGGATCTTCCTGACTTCAAGGTTGACACTCTATTCACTGTGCCACCTTGTTGTCCATATAGCATTATACATAATTTCTACAACAGTTTGTGGAAAACAACATTAGAAAGAGGAACTTTTTCCTTCTTATCCATATGTCCTCTTTGAAAACAAACAAACACCATTCTGGTAATTATGAACCATATCAGTCTTTTGAACTATTCCCTAAATTTCAAGATGTCCATTTCATATAAGCTATGAATTAATGCCAATCAGGAAGAATCAAGAACCAAAAGACCTTGAAAAGCTAGAACAATGGATAGGAGCCAATATTAAATTTAATAGGAACAATGTAAGGTCCTATATTAGGAATGAAAAAATCAACTTCATCAATACTAAATGGGAAACATAAGAATACTATTTTTGAAAAAAAGAAATGTAAATTTTAGGGAACTTCAAGTTTATTGTGAGTTAACAGTAAGGTATTGTGGCTAAATTGTGGCTAAAAGAGCTAGACCAGATTTTGATTACAGTAGTAGAAGCATAGAACTTAGGGCAAAGTGTTGGATAATCCTTCTGTTCTCTGCAATGGTCAGATCTCAATTGAATTATTATGTTCAGTTCTGGATACTAACTGGAACATTATGTTCAGTTGTGTGGAGTGAATGGCTTGGGGAGGATGAGGGAAGGTAGGATAGGAGTCAGATCATGGAAGGCTTTATAAGGAGAGAAAGATAAATAGACCCAACTATTATGAGAGTACATAGAAACTAGGGATTGCATGTCTTAGAACCCGGACCACCTTTTATCCTGGCATGTTACCCACTGGGAATGCACAAAAATGATACCAAAAAGCTGAAACAGTCCTGAGAATAGTGAGGAAGATGGTTAAAGTAACTGTAGAGATTTAATCTAGAGAATATAAAATGGAAGGGGGACATAAATAACTGTCTTCAAGTATTTGAAAGACTGCCATGATGACTGTCATGTTCTTCTTGGCACTAAGGGACAGAACTTGAAGTAATAGATAAAAGTTTTAGAGAGACAGATTTATATGACTCTGAGTTCAATTGTTTATTCAGTGAGGTACTGCATTTCAAATCACTTTAAGTCTCCAACAAGAGGCTGTATGACCACTTGTAATAGTTATAGAAGGCAATCCTTTTCAGGATGAATGATGTAGTCATTTGTATGTAGTTGGTGCCTAATATATGCAAATTGTATTAAATTGGACTTATCCCAGGAGGTCTATCATTATTGTAATAAAATGCAAACTCATATGGCATAAATGATAAATTCAGTTAAGAATTCAGATAAGGAAGTGACCTAGATGACAAAATATATTCCCCCCCTTCAAATAACCCAATATTGAGTAAAGCTATAAACACAAGATGGACATTTCTTTCTTCTCTGGTACCAAAAACCTATAATCTTGTGACTTTAAGGTACTTTTTGCTGTTGTTAACTCCCTGCTAGGATTAATTGTAAGACCTTTGAGGGCAGGGAATGTTATTTCATCTTTATATATCCAACACTTAGCAAATTGTCTTGGTAATATAGTAAGAGCTTAGTAAATGATAGCTGAGAGAATTAAAAGAAAAAAAAATCCAAAAGGAGTCATCATTTTTTTTTTCATGCAAACCTCCAGCAGGATTAATAAAAGAGCACCGATGATTTTTTTTTACAGCTTGTCGACCAGGTTTCTACAAGGCCTCTGCTGGCAATTTGAAGTGTTCCAAGTGCCCGCCTCATAGCTCTACCCAGGAGGATGGTGCCATGGACTGCAGGTGTGAGAATAATTACTTCAGAGCAGACAAAGATCCTCCATCCATGGCTTGTACCCGTGAGTAGTTTTGCTGCAACCCATGACCCCATGTTTTGTTTGGTTTTCCTTTTTATTTGTTTGGCTATTTTTTTTAATTTTTCTCTTCTGGCATATTTCTTTATGTTGTTCATGTGCAATTGAAGCTTCTTTCTGAATTTCTCTTTTCATTCCTGGCTCACCACAAATGCAACATTTATCACAAAATGAATTTGATACAAAGCAATGGCCATACTAGTACCACTCCACTCCACTCCCCACCCCCCAAACAAAAGGCTTAATTCATGTTACAAAATTTATATTGGACAGGTTATGGAAACCTAGAGACTTGGAATTTATACTTTGAAGTTTACATTCATCCTGGCTGTTTTCTGTCAGAGTTTCAAAGGGGGAAAAGAAAGGACTAAGATTTACAAACTAATATCAGAGTTTTCAAAATGATCCTTCATATAGAAATTAAAATTAATACTAATTTGTTTTGTGTGACTTTCTGAAAGTTCTTCAGTTTTGACTCACAATGGATTGGAGAGGGCACTTACACTTGTTTCTTTATGCCAGTTATCTAATGTCTCATATGGGCAGTTTATAGACAGATAATAAAGATAAGACAATTATTTTACCATTGCAGTTCCATTTGTAAATTTTCTGTTTCACATGTTGCAGAAAAGAGAAGTGAAGCTTATTAATCTTCCTTATTGAACTACCTTGCAGGACCACCATCTGCACCAAGAAATGTTATATCTAATATCAACGAGACCTCTGTTATACTGGACTGGAGTTGGCCCCAGGACACAGGAGGCAGGAAAGATGTGGCCTTCAACATTATATGTAAAAAATGTGGGAGTAGTGTTAAACAGTGTGAGCCCTGCAGCCCCAATGTTCACTTCCTGCCACGACAATTTGGACTAACCAACACCACAGTAACAGTGGTAGACCTTCTAGCACACACTAACTATACATTTGAGATTGATGCAGTTAATGGAGTGTCTGACATGAGTTCATCCCCAAGACAGTTTGCTGCAGTCAGCATAACAACCAATCAGGCTGGTAAGTATCTTACAGTTTTCTTCTTATCTATTCCAAATTAAAATCAAACAATGGACATCAACCCTTGGAGAGACAGAGAGAGGGAGAGAGAGAGAGAGAGAGAGAGAGAGAGAGAGAGAGAGAGAGAGAGAGAGAGAGAGAGAGAGAGAGATCATTTGAAAGGACACTAGTGATGCATGAGATATTAAAATAATCTTTTAGGTGGAATATGACATATGACTAGAATACCATCACTTATAAGAGTTTTGTTTATAAGAATAGTCTAGACAGTTTCCTGATATAAATTGTTCAGTGCTTTGACCCATGAGACCAGCCAACAATGTTTTATTTTTCCTAATTCCTAATCGACACTGTGTGGTTTAAAAATATCACTGATTTTTCCCCCAGTGGTACAGAATGATATCTTTCCTCACCCTCTCCCATAACAATTCCTCCCTTCCTCTCCCCATCATTTCCCCGTTTCTTTAGATGTAGCAAGACTGTTTTTTCTATTTTTCTCATCTATCATATGTTCTAATTCTCTGCTCTCTCTTACAACCCTCTCTAATAAGATTGATACTGCTGTGTCCAAAATTATATATAGCACTTAGCTATGGATCTCTTCAAAGATGCAAAGATGTGATGTTTTGTTTATGCTTTGCATAGAATACCTTTAGATTGGCTGCAGTTTACTTGCATATAGTCATGAATGGTATTCTTCAATTTTTAAAAACTGAGTGCTTTATTATACTAAATGAATAATAAAGCATGTGAATACCATGTGAATAACTAAGCACACATAACAAGAGTATAGTTTTATAATAGAATAAAGCTAGTAGAAAAGTGATTCTTACATATATTTAATGTTATACATAGCCATCATTTTGTTGTAAGTTAATTAGGCATACTCATGTTAATTTGCAAAGAGCCTATTTGTGAATCTCTCCTGCTGTGTAAGTGACAGATTCTCCTGAATCTATTAGGTCAAGTATAGTCCCTCCCTCTCCCTACCAGTATTAAAGAAGAGAGTGGAGAGCCCCATATATATGGAAAGAGACATTCTTTATACTCAAGTAACGAAAATAGTGGAGAGTCAATAGAAGTACATGCTACATCCCAGGTGACAGGGCAAAACATAAGTGATTCCTTGGAGTAAGGATAGTCAGTGCAAAGGGACCAAGACAAAAGACAGTTTATCACATTGTAAGAAACAACAAGAAAGTCCGTGAGGCTGGATTTTATAATACAGAATGAGTTGTAATACGTAATAAGGTTGAAAGGTAGGTTTGGGTCAGGTTGAGAAAGACTTAGCAGTGGACCTTCTGAAGATGTAGAGGGATTAGCTCCAACCCTTAGAGACTCAACTAAGAGGCTCTGTGATAGAAGTGTAAGGGGTCAAAGGTCTGTATAGCCTTCATTAAGACTGTGTATGCTGGGGTGTGTGGAGATGCTGGCGCAGGGGGAGAGATGATTAACCACAGATTTTTGCAATGCTTTCTCCCTGTCGTCAGTGCTGAGGGTTTAGAAGAGAGAGGAAGAATGTGAATTTTAAATATACATAGATACTTGTTGATGCTTGATCTAAGCATATTCTCAATTCTGTTTTTCTTTTCCTTTTTTTTTTTTAAATAAGAAATGAAATGATATAGCTGAGATGTCTTTCAGATTTGCCATTACTTGTGATTTCTGCTCAGGTCAATAAGAATTTCAATTTTATTTACCCAATCCTAATTTTACTATTTTTCAGTTCTATTTGAGTGTTTTTGAAAGTCAGTCTCTCTAGGCTATCTACTTATGGCAGAATACAGAATAATGTGGAAATGAAATTTGCCTTAAAAAAGTTAACCTATATTAAACTAAATAGCAGGACAAAAAAAGAAAAGCTTGTATTTTGGAAGAATATCACTTTTTTCCCTTCTGTCTAAAATTAAATTTTATGTTTAACTTTAAAACATATCCTTAGTCCCAAATTTGCAAGTATTCCAAGGAACACAGTCAGAGGACTTGATAAGTTAAGGAAGAAAGATGCCTTAGAACTCTTCAGTGGTGGTGAGGGTAAAAGTGATGGTAGTGGAGTTGTACTAGCCTTATTTTAAGGAACTGCTGTTTCTGAAATTTTGCTTCTTGAAAATAATATCCATCTTAAAATTATTTTCTTCAATTTTTTTTCCTTTGGCACATTTAAATTCCTCCATGAGATCATTGACTATGCTTTTTTTTTCTCACCTGACATAGTTTTCTACCCATTCTAGAGAAGAGCAGACCAGTTATTTATTAAAATAAATGGAGCTACAATCTCTAAACATTATCCATCCCTAGCTAGGGTAGGAAGTAAAGCTTTAAGATGTTGCAATTATAATATAATCAACAAAGAAGAGGGCTACAGATTCTTGATATGAGAAGAAATATTGGTGATGTCACATAAAAATATTCTTATATTCAAACACTCTAATAGTCTATTATTTTACTGAAGTGAGATAAAAAGAGACTAAAAATCACATTAGCAAATATATTACTTAACTTGCCAAGTAGAGAGATATGGCAACCAAAGGCAACATAAGTTTAGAATATTAACTGATTTGTACAAATATTTTGGAGAAGGATGTTGAAATACCATGAACTGAAGTACACTGGACGGATAAAGTATTCTTTCTTCTCCTTCTTTCCATCCACTCCCATCCTCCCACCTTTTACCTAGGTTAAGTAATCAAATTGATAGTACACTACCATTGTTCATGGAAAGGACATATTAAGTGATTGCTTGTGCATCAACTCACTATCTTTCTGACTCCTAATACACTCCACTCCTGGGTGACTGCTACTGCCATACAAATGTCTCTCCCATTAGAATGTCATTTCCTTGAAGGAAGGGATTATCTCTTTTCTATTAATATCCTTAGCACTTAGGACAGTGCTTGGCACATAATAGGTATTTTAAAAATGCTTTTTCATTCATTCATTGTAACTTAATATTAAAGGAAAGTGACCATCATACTTGGACATAAAAGTTACCTCAAAGTTACTAACTCTTCCTCCTTAGAGAATAGGTAGAAAAGGCACTAACGAGAACAAATGAGAAAAACAATTTTATTAGACCAATTATACAGGGAGGTCTGTGGAGACCAAGGATAAATGGAAGAGATCCATGGAGACCAAGAACACATGGTAGAGATCTATGGAAACTAAAGACACATTGTATATCATATAAATGGCAGCTACACTATTGTGAAGTTGTTGAAAGAGAGACTCAAAAGTGTGTAAAAATGTCAAGAATGCTACAAATGTGGGGAAAATATTATTTAGTACAAAAAAATAAAGGCAGTTAAGAGAACATCAATAACTACCAATGTATATATCTACTTTCATACCTAAATAACATTTTATGAGAATTGTAGTGAGCAGGAAGGCTTCTGAAAAAGTGAAATTTATTCTACAGGAGACTACTCTTTGAGCTTTACATAATTAACTGAAAGATGCAGAAAATATGATTCCATTAGGCATATTGTTTTTGAATTATAAAAAAAATTGATTTAGTAAAGCAACATACCACCTGAAAAATTCATAGAATTATAGATTTAGGACTATCAGGAGCCTTGGAAATCCTCAAGTTAAACACCTCCATTTTACAAATGAAAAAACTGAGTGCAAAAGAGGTTAAGTTGCTTGTCCAGGTTTACCTAGATGGTAAGTATCTGAAACAGTTTAGAACTTACATCTTCCTGGCTCCAAACATTGCCTTCTCTCTGCTATAGCAGAACAAAGTGTCTTTCATGCTAATATCAAAATCACGTAAAATTCCTTGAAAGAAATCACATCAGATAATCCTTTGTTGAATGATAATAGACAATCCTCTGTCTACCAAGTTTCATTTATTGAGTTTTAAAATCTTATTTACAGAATTTACAGAATTCTTATTTACAGAATTTACTCTAATTTACAGAAATGTGTAGATTGTAGTAAACTGAGTTGTAAATGTAATGATATAAAAAGGCTGATGCCATTCTTAAACTCCTTACTAGCAACAAGGTAATAGGAAAGCTGCATGTGTTTTTGTTATAGTTAATGACATTTATAAATTTGTGCTTCAGTAAAATTAGTTTAACTTTTTTTCCTTGAGAGATTTTTGTCACACCATCATTATTGTGTATTTTGTAATAACATTTCCTCAAATACAGTGAAACCAGAATTTTTTGGCAATTCTGATGACATTGCAAGTGGTTGTCCCAAATCCTGTATTTCATGCTCATTCAGTTATATTTTTGAAATAGGAGCATCAATAGGCATTATAATGATTTTTAAAGACAAACTAAAAGCTGCAAAAGCAAGCAACTGCTCATTTGTCTATATCTCATGTTTCTTCTCTGCTCTCTGACATTGCATGTATCAAAGAACTAATAGTTGTGAGCACTTACACTGAGTGATCCTAGGATCCATGGCACCAGAGCGGGAAGATATTCAGAAATAATTATGTTTGGTGCTTTGGCATCTTCAGTCGTAAAGAGTATCATATATTTCTACAAATCAATGGAAAAGTAAAAATTGAACAGCAAGTTTATCTAATGCTTAAAATGCATGCATATTTCCCAGTATTGACTGTCTCATGTAGCAAAACATTTTCTAGAATATACATTTCAGCATGTCTGTCCTTCTTGTGTATGTCTAGTGAGTTAACAGTTTTTGTTCTCCTTTCAAATCCCCAATGTAAGGTATATAAAAGAGATAAGGATCAATGTCATTTGTGCTGGAGAGAATTTTTTTTGGTATTGTTTTGGTTTTGTTCTAGTGAAGGTTAATAAACTGGTACCCTTGAAAAATGAGGTCCTGGACACAGAAAAGATATAGCTGAGACAGATATGATGATAGTGTTTCTAATTCCTCCCAGCCTTTGTTTTGACATGGATAAAGCAGGGCAAGCTAGTAAAGTTCTCTTTTAATTTAATTTCTGTGATTGAATTTGTTGTTTTTTTTTTCTTGATTACACTGTATATGTCTAATGATGAGCATGTCATGAGTCAGCTTTT